CCTCTATCGATTTTGTCAAAAATGGAAATGTTTCAGATTGCAACTAGAATATACTCACCGATAGCTAATTTTACGTAGAATCCACTGACACAAACTGTTGAATGATATCTCTAAGATCTTGAGCAATTTTAAAAAATGAACGAAAAAATCGATAAATTCCATTTTCAAAAAACGAATATTTCGGGAACAAAAAATGCAAATCTTAATAGTCTATTACGCTGTACTGTTCGGGTCGCTCTCAGGGGTCGTAAAGCGTGTGAACCCTAAATTCCAAACACACGTGCTTTGATTAAGGCTTGATTAAGGTTTGCAGAGCTTCAGCATTTGCCATAAAATAGCGGGCAATTTGTTAGAAAACCATATAAATTATATATCACTCTAATCCGAAAACTTCAATCTATTACCGTATTGTAACGAAATTTTAAATTATGTCTTTATTTTCGAGAAAATTTAGTCCAAACATAAGGAATATTTTGGTGATATTTGACCATCAAAATCTTAAAAAGAAGTTGTCTAAAAATGTGCTACAATATGGATATAGTATAATCCTTTATCTTTCATTTCCTTCTTCATTTGTATAAAAATACCTAGCCAGTTTTAAATAAAACGTTAAATGCCGAACGCTTATTTTGCTACTTTTTCGGACTAGTGAAATGGACTTTTAAAAACAAAACAGTTTTGTTAAATACTCGTTCAGGCCTACAACATATTCAAATATAATAATAACGTTGTCATATGCAATGATTTTGATTGAGTTATTTAGAATACCGAATATATACCCTTTAATGAAATCTCATTCTGTACGCCTCTGCTCCACATCGAACCAGGTAGAAACTCACTCCGATATCCCATCAAGTATGACAATAAACCACTTAGTTAGGATGATTCCTGCGATCGGGGCCGGCCACACGTTTGTCGAGAGCTGACATTTTCGAAAAAAAAACACAGAACCGAGCCGATGCCGCGCTCTTTGTCACCGGTAAAAGCTTTTTGACACAATTGGAAGGCATTTCACGTCGCTTTTTTACTCCGTTTTCTCTCCTCATAATTCGGTCGATGGTTTTGCATTGTCTCCCCCTGGCGAGCGGCTTTGGAAACCGCCGAAGCGCGAGCGGAGTACCGAGCGGTACTCTCTTTCGGCGGCGTTTGTCACAGAAAAGTTCGATAGCATCGATCCGTCGATATAGACTCTAGTGTATAGTACGGTGTCGAACAATTGACCTATCGGATTCCTTTTTACTCGGTGAAGTACTTTTTTAAAGGTACCGTCGCCGTCGCAATGGTGATGGGAAAGGTTAGATAACGAGTAGTACTGTACCGGCAGAGTGAAGTTCTTTTAAAGAAAAGTGTCATTTAAGGAGGTCTTTTAAAGAAAAGCACGTCATTGTGAATTTTTTACATTTTTTTGAAGAGGTTGAGTGCTATATTAAAAGTTTTAAATAATGTTTATACCTTTGTGGTGGGTTCATTTTTTGAAAATAATTCTGGGATTTTCGTCACTGGATAACATATCTACATTTTTTACACCACTTGAACCAGCTTGTCACTTACTTACCGCCATTACTCGCTGACGAGTATTTGACACGCATCAGAACATAGTTACGCACGGCGTTTTCTTTCATGAGCTTTTCTGTGACTGAAAAACCCGATACGTGATGTTATCTTTCTTTCGCACTCTGGAGATTCAAAAATCTCATTAGTTTGTTGCCTCTTTACCTTTTGGTTGTCGCTGTTAACTGAATTTACAATTCTTCTCCATTGCGTTCTATTGTACGCTGCTTCCTCCCACTGACTCTGCATGCTTATCCCTTTTAAGTTTTCGTCAAGAATATTCTTGTACCTTTTGAGTTGAATTACTACCTGATTACAAATTCTTAATGAGAAAAAACCAAAAACGTATATGATTTTTATATATAACTCTCTGAATATGATGCTGTTTGTTCCACAATTCAATTTTACTTATGTTTATATTATCTAGTGATGCAGATAAAAATAAATAAATAAATAAGTACTGAAAGAAACGATAGCTATATAGCGATGAGCAAGAAGAGATTTGGTTTTGCTTGTGCAAGACCAAAACCCAGCATGCAAGTCTCTAGTACCTTTGCATCTTTTCACGCCTTTATTTACAAGAGTCATGCAGCAAGACCAAGACTAGACACTGAAAGGCCAAGATCAAAACTACCTATTCGACTTCAAGACCAAGACCTATGGAGTCTTGGTTTTGTTCACACCAAAAAGCATAAACTTGTTAACCCCTTCACCTGCCTCTACGCAAGCAATACGTTTATTTACATTGGAATAAAAAAGCCTCTATTAATTTTCATTTGGAATCTATCGGTTCTTTCATCATAATTTTTAGATTATTAAAATCTACTCTGTGTCCTGTGTCCCATGAATGCTGACAAATCTTAGATTAGGCGAAAATCTCCCTTTTTAAGTCATTGGCCATGCCGCTATATACTAATTGACTTGAATAAAGCCTGTCTACTACATTTTGAGAGTAATGTGGAGGTGCACCGTCTTGTTGAAATATTAGTTCCCGCTTCAACGTATCCAGGATTGTTCTCTCTGATGTCAGTTAGGGCTGGGTCGATGGTATTTTCCAGTAAATCCAATCCAAGTACATATCACCTGTTAGATTTCCAGGAAGAAAAAAAGGACCTACAATAGAATTTCCAAAAGTACCAGCCCGCCCACACGTTCAATTTCTTTTTTTTTGTGGGGTTTTTTGTGTGCACCTCGTGAAAAAACCTGGGGTTGTCCTCAGCCCAGTACCGACAGTTGTGCCGATTAACTACACCGTTCAAAAAGAAAGTACACTTATCCGAAAAACACATATTAAATAGGAAATTATTATCATTCGCCACTCCAGGGGCGTAGATAGGTGTATGCTATGGGGGTGGTACTATGATTAAGTCGCAAAAAAAATCACCGTCGGAATTTTTTTGTCGAATTAAAACGACGGCGATTTTTTTGTCTTCAAAAAGATATAAAAACATAACACAAAAATTAAAATATAGATTTGTAAATAACATAAACAAAAATGAAACAACGACGTTTATTAGTTAATTTTCTTTCTATAAACTATAAAAAACACTCGGCCAACTATCAAAAAAACTATAAAACTATAAATAAAACTACAAAACAAAATCAAGTTTTCTAGTTAAAGATGTTTCGAAAACCTATCAACAACAGCATCAACATTTATTTCTTTATATCTTTTATGGATATTGATTAGAGTTAACCCCACTAATCTGTATCCTTAGATAATAAGAAGAGTGTGCTTTTAATTAGGTCGAACGTATTATAAAATCGATAAATCAACATAATTAAAAGCATACAAAGTGTTCTTATGTCGGATTTTAATTTAAAAAAATCCTTTCATAGTCAATGACTATTTCAATTCTCGTATCTCGTCAAGCGTCAGGGGGGGGTACTGTCACCCAGTACCCCCCCCCCTTATCTACGCCCTTGCGCCACTCGCTCACTCATAGTTTCACAAAATTGCAAGCGTCGATCAAAATCGTCTTCGTTGAGTTGTTGTACCAACTGAATTTTGTGCGGGTGGAACTTGTGTTTTTTTAATATCCGTTGGACACTTGGCCCAATACAAATACCTCCATAGCTTCATTTACTACAGGATTTTCCCTCTGCCTATTTTTATTCATAACGAAACCAGTTTAGCGAAATTTTGCTACTAACTCGCGAACAATTTTGCCATAAAGGTGTTTGTCAGAATGGCGTTCAGTGAATATCTGCGCAACCCTATTGCCACATTCATTGTTTTTAAAATAAATTTCGATTATTTCCACTTTTTCTGCAAGTGAGTACACCATAATTGTTAAAAAGTTTAACGATATTGAGAAGAACTTCAACGCACAAGTCATAGAACAGCTATCTAGCAACTACCGCACCTTATCGTTCAACCTTAAGGCAAGTAAAACAATGCGTAAACATGTAGAAATAATAAGAAAAGACAGCAAATTGGTCGAAGGAATTTATACTTATCATTTACTCTGATAAATGTTTAAATAAACTTTTCAAATTTCAATCCTTCATATTTTCTCAATGACTCGATCGATTTTCAAAAACGAAGCGGGAAAGTATAGAGAATAGAAAGCCCTTTTCATTGCAGTACCACTTGGCCCCCCTTCCCATTTGAAAACAATTGGGGGATGACACCCCCGCTTAGAGGGTTGAAGATTTTGCAATAATTTTTGGAGCAAAAGTTGTCCCCCACAAACAAAATTGACGTGTTTTTGAATTTTTGAAAAAAAATACCCTGGTCGCTATGCCTTGCGGAACGTTTTCGATGGGCCACCCTGTATAATTTTCACGTACAATCTATAATCCTCTCGTTTGGCAGATTATATTTAACTAAAAAAAGACAAGGATATTTAAAATATATTTTTTATTTGATAAAAAGAACAATAAACAATCCAGAGATCGAAACACATGCATGCACTCGTTCCATCTTTCCTTCTCTTTGCAGCATTTATCAATCGTTCCTTCCTGCGCCGCTGCTACTCTTTAAAACTTGTGTCACCGAAGTAAACCCATTGTCAGATTTAATTGGATGGCGATCTCGCGACCCGATAAGCGTCAACAGGATATAAAGGCGAATTTCGCTCGAAATCGGGTCGGGATTTTCCACGCGGCTGCCGATCGCGGCGGCACGGGAGAATGGCCCTTAAGGCCGAGCGAGGGAATCTCGAGCACCTAAGTCTTGATTGATTAGAAGATAAATGGGTTTTAACTGTCCTTTGGGTGGTACGGTCGGGTTGGAAGACAAACTGCGCTCGCTGGAAGGACGCGGCGAGATTGGTTTAAGAGCCTTGTAGGACTTATTGCGCCTTTATCTGTATAAAAAAAAATAAAATGCTGTTTTTTGGTAAGAATTCGTTTTCAGACCAACTTAGAAATTTCCTTTTACTTTTTCTTTTATAGATTCTTTGTATTTGTTTGTTTTTTATTAAAATATGTTTTTTTTGTTACAGAGTTTACAAAGTGCAGCACGAAGGGCTGGTACGAGTTGTGCCAATTGTAAAACGACAACGACGACACTGTGGAGACGAAATCAAAACGGCGAACCAGTGTGCAATGCCTGCGGATTGTACTACAAACTTCACAATGTAAGTACCCAAAACGTTATTCAATATATATTTAGATTTTTAAATTCTTCTAGATTCTAGAGTGTGTTGTTATTACAAATTACAATAACTACTTTGATCGGAGATAGTTTTACATTTTTGTATTTTGATGACTACGTTAGTCTTTTGAGACTACAAGGCATCACACAACGTCGAAGGACGTTTTAAAATTGATTCTTGTACGTAAGTTGTTGCCTTTTAAGTTCTCTCTCTAAACTTGACTAACTCTTGTCCACAACATGAGAGAAATGATTGTAGCTGCTTTTCGAAGTAGAACTCCACATATGCCTTTTAAAATAAAAAGATCTTTTGAAAAGACAACCATTTTATGTAGTTAACAGGAAAAGAAGCATTTTGAGCATTTGATTTCATCTAGCTAATTATTGTCACCTAATTATAGGTTTATATCTAGTTTTAATTCTATAGTAATTAAAATATGTTTCAAACGTGTATATTTTTACTACCGCTGAGTATTTTACTCTACATTCTTTAATTTTTGTTAAATTAACAAAAGGTATCATCACAGCCACCTAGATTTTTTCTAAGATCTACTGAAGCAAAACCATAAAAATTAAAATATCCAGGAAAATCTTGTTCTCCTTGGATCCTCAGGCGCTACCCTGTATATGTAATGAATATTTTTTTTAAATAATATTTGTCATACTCTGATATTTTTTATAAATATTTATTTACCATTTATTTCTTTTACACCATCAATCTCAGCGTAACGAAAAGACTGTTTTTCGCTTAATATGCCGAAAACAAAACTCGCGTCATTCCATATGCCTACGTCAATCATACCACACCGACCAGACTGTGCGAGTACGTGCCGACTTAACATACGTACAGCGAGCGGCAAAACAACAAACGAAACCGAATGGCCGGGCTTTAACGCGAAATTGCATGTGTATGCACCGCTTGTATGCACCGGCGATGGCGATGACGACTCCGTCGCAGACTAATACCAATTCCGCCAATTTTGCCGGTTTAAAGGCAATTTCACCGGCTGGGAATTCGATGCGGAGGTGGACGAGAATCTCGGAATTGTTTAATTGGCCGGTTGCATTAATTCAGGAACGGAGATGCGGTTTTCGTACAAATAATGTTGTTTACTGTGAAAAGTATTAATTAGGGTCACGGAGGGTATACGGTAGGAATGTGGGACACTTCCAATAAGATCGATATTGTGTAAAAGATTCCATAAAAAATTCAGTATAAAACTATGGTAGAAATTTAGAATGTTAGGTAGTTAATCACCGCGACCTTACAGATCTATTGTGTGTTCCCCTTTTTTTAAGTTATAACGAGTTATAACTCATCATACAGTTTCAGGGCTTTGACAAAAGCCAGTATCTGAGGTGACTCCACAGACACCAGCTCTCCATCTCAGCCGTATCAAAGTTTATGGTACAATGGCAAAGTTATTTTTGCGCACAAGAAAATTTACTCTTTTGCTCATCGTCATAAAAAACAAATTTCGTACCACGAATTAGGGAGAAGATTTTTAGCTGTATACTTATAGGTTACGGATACCTAATCTGTGGTCTAACTTTCGGATATTCAGGAGATTTAGATATTCAGTAGGTGTGTAAACAATCCGCACGACCAATCCAAGAAGTTTATACTTAAAAAGCTGTTTAACCTTCAACCACTTGAAATTTGCTAGACTATCGGACACATGATCATATTTACGCAATTTGCAGACCTGGCGGCATGGCAGCAGGTTGTTCACGCAACCTGCTGCCATGCCGCCTGCTTTGTAGTTTAGTTGGTATACACACAGGATCAAAGCATGGAGATTAAACCGTGAAATCGGAACTACTCAGTATGTTTTGGGAGAACATTGGCTACCATCAATGATATTTGTATTATATTCACGGCTCTTCCAAACAACGTGTTGGTGTTAACTTCGTACCACTTCCGTAAGTCCTTGAGCTAGGACATCCTTCTTCTACCTGAGCTGAGCGTAGTATTTCTCGTATATCATAATTATGTCCAAAATATTCTAGTTTTTTGGTCTTTATGCTTCTTATCACCACGATACTCACACTCAGCATCTCCAACACACTGACATTACTAATTTTGTCCACCCACAATCCACAATATCCTTAGAATTCCTGCAACACCAGATTTCGAAGGCTTCTGTTTTTGTCATCTCGCTATTTCTCAATATCCAATACTTCATTCCATACAGCAAGGTCGAAGACACATAACATTTTAACAACCGTATTCTCAGAGGTATCTAGAGGTCTCTACCGCAAAGCACTTTACTTATTTTTCTGAACCCAGCTTTAGCTTGTTTTATTCTTATTCGTATTTTATTTTTGTCTGTCCATTAATTGCTTGAAAGGACCGTTTCAGTAATATTTGAACTGACCTCATCCCACCAGTAGCTTATTATATTAATCCCAACTCGAAACAACTTAAAAAAGAACGTCGATTACTGTTGTGCCATCGAAAAACTCTCCCCATGTGAATAAGTGTCTCTTTATTCGGATTTTTTAATGCGGTCCGGTAGCCACGGACAAAGCTCCATTTGCATAGTCTTAAAGGATGCGAAAAAACTACTCGGCTCGTCCGCGATATACAGCCCGTCCTGTTCGTATTTTTTTCCTGCCTTTTTTTTAATATGGTTTCGCCGGCAGCGTGTTTTATGAACAACGACGCCGCGTTTTTTTCGCATTCGTTATTTGACTGGAGCGCTCGTTACGGTTTCTTAAATTAAATCTTCTCCGGTCGACAGAAATGGTAAAAAAATGTTGTTTTTTGTCCGTTATTATGGTAAATTGGATGAATTTTATTGAAAATATGTATAAGAATTCTATGGTAATTTCTCTACTGCGTTATTGCATTATTATTGACTATTATTTGTTATATACAACTGTTGGACTAGTGGTCTCGTGTTGCTGATTAGCAATGAATCTTTTAAAAAGACTTATCAGTGGAGTATTCAATATCCACACCTTTTTTGAATCTTTTGAAATTAAGGGGTAAAATCGTTAACATATCCTGTATATTTTCCATCATTTCTCATAGGATGCGAGTTTCTCGAAAAACAAAATTTGATTTCTTTGATTTTTTAGTAGAGAGCTCAAAATGAACTTATCTACTCTTTTTTCTTACATTTGATGATATATACAGTTTATACAATATATACATTAGATCATTACATATTATCTATTTGCTTTAACAGTCTCTGGTTGAAAAATCAATTTGATCAAACTAGAAAATAATTAGTACTGTCATATAAAGGGTTAAATTAATAAAATAAAAATAATATAGAAAATTTCTTCTGGGAGAATGGAGAAGTTGAAGGAGAGAAGTGTTCTATTGAACCCTACATCAATCCATTCTTAATCTCCCTTTTGTTTTTCTTTGAAATGTTTTTTTTAATTCTTTTGGCTGGCCATCGGGCACACACAGCCCACCGATAGCGATCTAGATACGGGAAATTATGTACATTTCGAATTTTTATTGAATCGTAATGACGGCAAAGCCACAAGTCGCTCATACATATTCATAAGCGGCGATAGACGACGCGTAGTCTGCCGCGGGCCCCGAACACAGTGCAGCTCGGCTTGGATTTTTTACAATAAAAGAAAAGAAAGAATGTGTAATCGGTGTCCTGTTATTGGTAATTCGATTAGTTTCGAACTAATTATCGATTATCTTCTGTCTATATTTTTTCTTATGCAGTGCAAGAGACAAAACAGGAAAATAACTTACTTTGGCCAAACTTTGGCTTTAGTTAAAAAACCATAACGTGGTAAATTGATGCTTCGAATAGGGATAGGAATATTTGGGTCGAAAACTAAATACTCCGAACCAATGGACACCTACTAATGGTATCCTTCAGGCAGAAATCTACGCTATCGAAAGATGCGTACAACTTTTCTTAGATAGGAACTATCGGATATAAGAAATAGCCATCTTACCCTATAGTCAAGCAGCATTAAAAGTGATCAACTCAGTAACCATCAATTCGAAGTTGATCAAGGTATGTCTAGAGAAGCTGAACAAATTAGGTAAAGAAAATAAAGTCCTTCTACTCTGGGTCGCCCACCAAGGGATAGGAGATAATGAAAAAGCAAACGATCGGAAAGGAGTAAACACTCCACTAAATGGACCAGAACCGTTTTTAACCTAACCACTAGGGAAGCAAAACTGTGGGAGTCAGTTCTAAAAAAATATAACTAGACCTTACAAAAAAAAGGTAAATATATGGACAGCACCAAAAAAGTTACCTCAAGCTTGCAAAATTGTTTTTGATAAAATAAAAAATTATAAAGTTATTATTTACATTTTGTTCATTACAATGTAATTATTGTTACCGAAAGTTCCACACCCAAATAGTAATTAATTCCATATTTTGTAAGAAAACTTATTACACAATTTTGTCAATTGCCTATCACATGTTAGGTTTCTAGATTCCAAAACAAATGAGCGATTAGCCCAATTTATAGGATAATTTATAAAATAGAAGTGGGATAATGCTTGTATTTTGTAGACGCTGATATGACAAAAGCTAAATGGATATTACAATTTGTAAGAGAATGAATTACAAAAATGTGGACCATGCCATGCCGGTTGTTTCTTAGAAATGCTTCAAAGGTACTTTTACTTTACTTATTTTAAAAAAAGAAAACCTGTTTTTCTAATCATTAACACTAAGTATAGTAAGTCAAATGAAACAGGTGTATACTGTTTAAACAGTGTAAGTATGCTTAATGTAATAGAAAGCATGAAAGATACCTATAGGTAGGTATATATGCTGGTAAATTAAACAATGGGGCTCTTTCACAAAAAATAAAATACCCAATTCAAGGACAAAATCTGAAATAGAAGACTATTTTCAGTATATTTATCCAAAAAAAATAGTTCCATGACATTGAATAATTTTTTTATATGCCCTCAAAATTGCTTTAATTTGAAATAATTTTAAAATTCCAATTGTTGACGTATGAAAAATACGCCCAATCACA